AGCTTACCCTTACAATTGTGTTTTATTTGGGAATAATTAGTAGTTAAGGGAAGGGGGGGTGAAATTGCTTGGTTTGTTAGTTCTGTTAATTTGCTCACTGTTAGATTTAGATAAATCAATTGTTGCTTATAAAGTGAATATCAAGGATTTCTTTCATTTAACCGTTCCTTCATAACAGATTGGAGGCGAGAGGCAGATTATACCACTTTTCACACTTCCTCTGTGGGTTTTAATTTTAATTATCAGAGAGGTGTTGACCTTCCTTATGTAACAGAATCTACTGTATTGTCTAGGACAGCTATGATTATTTTTAAAAAAGAAGACACAAGCTCCAAAGCTTCCAAAATATGGTCTAACTGTAATTTTGTAATCATAACCTGCCCCATACTCTCAATTCAAACTCCAAAATCTCATGATAAATTCGTCACAATTCAATAACTTATGTACCTACACAAAATGACTAATTTCCACTTTCACTCTTCACTCATTTTGCAACACTAGTCACCTCATCCAACATAATCAAAATTAGCCACTGATCATTTTTAAAGCTTCAAGACATTGAGCACCACATTCACCTGCTTCACCACCTTCTGGCCAATGCAGCTTTTGCTTTACTTTTGCTTAAGTCTGCCACTCCCTCAGGTTGGTATGAGCAATTATCACTGATCATAGAACCCCTAGTGTGGAAACAGGCCCTTCGGCCCAACAAGTCCATACTGACTCCGAGCATCCCATCCAGACCCATCCCCCTGTAACCCATCTAATCTACACATCCCAAAACACTATGGGCAATTTAGCATGGCCAATCCACGTAGCCTGCACATCTATGGACAGTGGGAGGAAACCCATGCACATTCTCCCCGTGTCTGCAAACTCAACACAGACAATCGCCCCGATCCATAATATCCAGACACCCTTCTACCTGGAGAATTATTTCCTAGCTAATTTGAGAAAGATCCAGCCATAGCATATTTCCTGTACTCTTTTCTGTGTTACGGCCTTCCTTGTTGTGCAACAGACACCAATTCTCTACACTTGGCACAAACATTTTCTGGAAGTCTCCGTACTGCATCCCCTTGTTCATATTTTGCTATTCCATCAAGCTACTCAAATTCCTCCTACTTCTGATACAATTTTATTTTATTTTGTTCAAAAAGCACAATTTATGGACAGTCAATATGGTGCTTTATAAATACCTTCTTTAGGACTAAAACTAGTCTGACTCCAAACTAAAACACAGATTCTAAACAAGGTCTCACACCTGACATGCATTATCTGACCTAAAATGTCATCTCTTCTTCATACTGATAAAACCTTTAATTCTCTTAGGCCCATGACTTGAAAGGAGTTTGGGGATTTACAGATACATATTAATCAATTAAAACCTTCTAACTGATTAAATATTTAGCAGCATCTTAGGTTTATTTAGTACATCCTCATTAATGGTGTGAACCTTTGATCTTTCACTTATAAATTCTGTGTCTGACACTACCTCTGTCACCAACACCTGAAGGAGGACTGAGGCTCCGAAAGCAATGTTTTCAAACAAACCTGCTGGACTATAACCTGGTAGTGTGTGATTTCTGACTTTAAAATCCAGGGACCGCAAAAGGAATTGTTGCACTTTGAAAATACAAGGAACTCATTATAAGCCGTATTTGGTTAAGCAATGCAAGAGGAAAGACATCAAAACATTGGGACTTGTGAGCAGAGTGATAGCCTGCTTTCTCCCCACTGACACTGCTAAACCTGCTGGGATTTTCCAGCAATTTCTGTTAGCTTTTCTGATTTCCAGCATCCACAGTTCTTTGTTTTGTGCGTGTGTGACCAGTTGTGGATGCCATCAACCTGACAACAGCACTTTGACTGGCTCTTGGAAAGTGAAGAGCTTGGCTGTTTACAATATAGAGAGAAAGTGAGATGCCTCTGGAATACCGGAAGAACAGATTCTGCATCTGTCTCCTTTGTGTCTGAAGAAAGCCAATTATTTTCTCTCACCAGTTGCTATAAGCTGTTGCCAGTAATGAAGAAATTTTGTAATTTGATGTAGTAAGCTCTGCAGTAGTCTCTGAAAAAAAAAATGTAAGAGAATCTGTAGAAAGGAGACTGAAGAACAGAAGGTCTTGGGAATCAAACCAAAATCTCATTGAACTCTGTGGACTGGTGCTATCGAACTATTTCCCTAGATAACAAGGTGTAGAGCTGGATGAACACAGCAGGCCAGGCAGCATCAGAGGAGCAGGATGCTGCCTGGCCTGCTGTGTTCGTCCAGCTCTACACCTGGTTATCTCAGTAGGAACTGCCGATGCTGGAGTCTCTCTCTGAACTGTTTCCCTAGATTTTATTTCCCCCAACCATAACGCCAAAGTTATTTTGTCTGTCAGTCTGTTTGTGCAGGTATGGGTTGTACTTTCAACTTAGAGTTATAAGATGGTAGTTCATATTGATCAGGTTCCTGTAAAACTGTTTACTGTTAGACTGATTCCCTCAGACATATAAATTGCACTTTGCGTGCTTGGATTAAATTATTAACTTTTCAGTGATCTCAAAAGTAGTAGAGCTCAAGAATCAGTGCACTTTAAGTCTTAACAATATCTCATTCATAATTCATACTTTAGAATATAAAACCTTAACTCCTAAGCTAAGGAACTGTTGAAAATGGAGTATATGATTGAGAAATTGACAAACAACCCTGGAATAAATGCAACTCAATCAGATTTGGGACCATGTTGACCCAACAGGTAGAGCAGACAATTCTGGGAAAGAAGGTCGTAATGCTACATAACAGATTATTCAAATGGGTTACTGATACAAGAACAAACTTGAAGGTAAAATAATTCATCTGCATTTCTGGTTCAATCATTCCAAAACATGCTGCACTGTCATGGAAATAGTAATTCAGAGTGAATTGAAGGTTATTTTATTTAATTTAGCTGTACATGTTCTACGACAGAAGTGGGCAGCTTCATCTGGGGACAGACAAAAGGCAACTGTAGCTTTGCTATGATGAAGACTGTATTTCATTAATTGAAGGAACCCACAGGAAGAAATAGAATTTGTTCTGCTTGAACTGCCTAACTTTACTATTCATCAAATGGAACGCAAGTGAGGCTCATTCACCATTTGAATTTCATGAGGGACTGGTTTGCTTTTATTTACAGCTAGTAAAAGCCATCTACAACATGTAGCAGAAAACAAATCAGTGGAGCTGGTCTGGGAAGCTGTGACAAGACTGTTGGAAATCTGCTGACATCCCAAACAAGGAGCTGAGGCATCCACAATTATGAAGCTGGCAAAGGAAAAGATGAAGGTTGCCTAGTCAAAAGTTAATGAAAGGACAGCATAGAATCTTACTTTGGGAGGGCAGCAGGATTACTAAGGAGAATTAAAACAAATGCTAGATGTTTATGTGTGCATCTATGTATGGATGGGGTGGGGTAGGGAGCAGAGTGAAGTAGAACAGCATAATTCCTTACAGGCTATACTGTTCATCGCCGCACAAGCTTGGGAAACAGTGTACACACATACCCTGCCCAACCGGAGACATTATTGGGAAAAGAATGCAGTGCGCGACTTATAACTATGGATTCTGGTCATATTTCTTTTTCACAATCTAGATTACACCAATTCTACAGCAAATAACAAAAGTTATCATTCTTTATAATTTCACTTTCAACTAAACTTTCAGATTAAGGCATTACACACGTCTTTCTTCAATTCTGTCTCATGTTCTAAGCCCAACATTAGACAATCTTTGTTCAACTTCAAATACTACTAAACTATATGGCATCAATTTCACACGTGAGGTTTTCTCACTGCTTTACAAGGTTATTTGCAACCCTAGTTTATCAAGGTTAAATATTCCATAGCTGGTTCTTGTGTTTCTTAAAAAACCTTTTATCCCCCTCTCAACTTTAATAGCAAATCTAAGTGGATGCTGATCAGTTGTCTCACCTACTCCCCTATATCCTGCACCCCCTATTTTCAAGTTCGTCTGTCCCACTTTTTCCTTCAGAACTAAATCTCATTTGCTTCTTTCCTTTTCATGTACTACTAGAGGAAGCAGTCTGGAATGCACTCAGTAAATCTCACCCATTTAATCCAAGAATGAATAAAACCCTCTAAATCTTACCAACCCATTTCTGTACAAGTGTCTGATTTGACTTCTTCCCAATAAACTATTACCCTGTTACTAACCTAACCAAGCAGACCAAGTGGGCATTTATCGATTCTCAATAAAAAATATTTACCAAATTGCACACAGTTCTCTTCAGTTCTTTAACAGTTAAGTACCCTAAAACTTCTGTATGTACTATATGACTCCACTTCTATATTGCCCTCTAAACTTTTTTTGCAAATCACAAATTAAATAAAATCTTAACTGTTGACCAAATTGAATTCTCAGGCCACTTCTGTACAGGCATACATTTAATTATGCTCACTTGTAGTGAGGGTCTGCCGTAAAGGGCTATCTTTATGGAAGTATTTTTATGTCTTTAAAAAAGTGTCATATGAAGTAACCTTCAATTTTGGTTGTTTAACACACATTTAGTTTCAGATCTATCAATTAAATTTTGCATTATTAAAATTGATTCAATTAAATTGCACATTTCGCCTGAAGAGTTCTTTTAAAGAAAAGCAACTGAGACCAGATAAATCCCGTGCAGGGAAAATACAGCAAAAACAATAGCCAAAAGTGTGAAACTGGCAGCAAATAACATCAGGAAATCTGCCTTAAAAATTGCCTTATCTCCATTACAGTTCTGCTAATTAAAAGATCATAATTAATCACAGAGATTGACTTCTTACTGTGGAAGAGATCAGCATAGAGCTTAATAGAGAAAAGATGAACCATTCACAGAATTTAATATCATGAACTGGTTTTGCTGTATGCACAAGTCATTTTAGCATATTCCCAAATCTTAAGAGTTTCTAACTTCCTCCTATATTTTGCTTATTCTTCCTTTAAATTTATGTGCTCTCCTAATCCTTTTTCTTACCTCTTCCTTCCCTTTCTTCCCTCTCTTTTAATAGATCTTCCCTTCTTCTCTCTTTGCTTTCTTCCCCTTTTCCCTCTTCCCATTATTGGTTGTGGACTGAAGGTTGAGTAAACATACAACAGTTCATACATCTTTCTCCATTAATTACCTTACCATATTAAACTAATTTATTTTAAAATCAGATTGATAAAAACAACAGCAAAAATAAGCAAGTTACAATAGTTAACTTAATTAATTAATAACAAGCTTAAAAAGTGTCCTATAACTGGGATTTTCACAGGAGCAGGATTCTTTTAAAGCCCTCTCCTCGTCATTTACATTAATTGATCAAAGAGTTGAGTATTAATGGTCAAATGTAGAATTCCCAAATCTACTTTAGCGATTGCCACATGGCCAGATTGACCAGTGGCCATAAGATAACACTCAGGGGCACTGATCTATGAACATGTTAGCAAGAAATGCTTTACTCTGCTTTTTTAGAAGAGATGACATGTTTAAACTGATCCAACACCTCCACTAAAATCTAGAGTAAAGAATTTCAACCAACAGACATCTGTTTGTGAACACTATAGTCTTTAAACTGATGAGAACCACAGCTAAGGACACAAAACCAATGCAAATTATAAAACTCAAGTTGTTCACAAGAGAAAAATACTGGATAACAGAATAGTTTGGCTCTTGAAACGATTCCATAGAGGCAAAAATGTGTAGTTATTCTATTGGCTAAATTTTATTTTTTAAACTTCCCACAGAGATCTGGAATAAGGGGCAATTGCAGTAGAATTGACTGACGTGGCAATGTTCATTAACTGGAAAGTAGAACACAAGAACCTGTGCTCAAGATAAAGCTCTAAACCAGCAGCATCTTTTTTATCATTGAGTGCCAACAGGTATGGTTGTTAAAATACCAATTCAGCTGCAGGACGGAACAAAGTGGAAGGTTCTATGAATTTCAAAAGCAGAAGATAGAAGTGAAAGAAAATTAATTTTAGTCATTAATTAACCTTAGAGGTTTATGAATACTTATGGTAAATTACTATTTTTTTCCAAACTTCTTTTGACACCAAATTTAAAGATTCCAACCCGGTGTGCATTTGCCATTACAAAATCACTTAAGGACATGGGACCCAGACACTCATCCACTGGCTGTAAATGTTACTGGTTTCTATTTGTCCACTCTTCCAAAAGTATACAATTAATCCATACATTCTATATTGAATTGAACAATGACTATTTCTCTCCCTTGCAATCAAACCCAAGCACTTTATAATATCACAAATACAAACTTACGCAGATACTAGAAATTTGAAATAAAAACAGAAAATCCTAAATGTGCGGCAGAGTCTCGAGAAACAGTTAATGTTTTGGTTTCATCAGAATTTACCCAGGCAATATCCACGGTCAGTGATTTTGGGGGAGTTAGAGTGTTGGCTAGTGCTGTTGGGAAGGGCTCAAACTAGAATGGCAAAGTTGCAGGAATCTGAGCAGACAGAGAGGCAGCAGAAATAAGGATAAAAGTAAAAGGCCAAGAGACAGAATGGTCAGGAGTCAAAACTGAAGACAGAAAAATCAAGTGATAAACAAATAGGGTCACAGTGCAAAATAATGCTAAGATGACTAACAAGATAGATAGATCCAAATAGATCTGAAGTCTTTGTGCTTTAATACACGGAGTGCTTGCAATTAGGTACATACATTAATAACATAAGTAGATATAAATGGTTATGACACAGTTGTGATTTCAAAGACATGGTTGCAGGATGATCAATGATGGGAACTATTTGGGAATGACAGACAAAAAGGAAAGTTGTGGAGTAGCACTGCAAGTGAAGGAGGCTATCAATGCAATACCAAGGAAAGATACTGGCTCGGAAAATCAGGACATTGAATCTGTTGGAGGAGGTAAGAAATACTAGGAGCATAAAGTGTGGTTGGGATTGTCCATCCTCCCCCAAATAGTAGTGAAGACATAAGGAAAGGGATTAAACAAGAAATCAGAGATACATGCAATAGAGGTACAACTGTAATGATGAGTGACTACGATTTATATACAAATTGGACAAACCAAACTTGCAATAGTATTTTGGAGGAGGATTTCTGAGAGCCTGATAACCCTATCGCAGGTGATAGTTTTTTTAAACCCAATATATTAAGGGACCAGTGAACAGGCTATTCTAGATTGGGCATCGTTAATTAATCATTTCTCATTGTGCAATCTTATTGTGCTAGATTGCAAACAGACTTTTTTCAAAAAAAAAAAAAAAAAAAAAAAAAAAATCTGGTCTAGTAATCCAGTAAATTAAAAATCTCCATTCTAGTCTTTGCAGTGCGTAAGATGCTTGGTTCTCAAGAGAGGTCACTGGATCCAAAACGTTAATGCTGCTTCCTCTCCAGAGGTGTTTCTGATTTCAACCATCCACAGTTCTTTGGTTTTTTTTCCACTCTCTGCGGTGCTCCCTTCTGCACTCCCAATGAGTCCAGAACTGGAGTGGAGGTGGTTAGGTGGCAGGGGGGGCGTGTGGGTGTAGAGGAAGCAGTCACAGACTAAAAGATACAGGGTGTGTCATTTAGGACAGAGGAGAAGAAATTTCTTCACCCAGAATGGTGAGCCTGTGGAATTCTCTGCCGCAGAAAGCAGTTGAGGCCCAACATAGATATCTCCTTGTTGAAAATATTCATTCTTAAGGCTAAATAGATCAAACTGTAAGGGGTGAAAGCAGGAACAAAGACAAATGCCTTCTATTGGTAATAGATTTAAAGAAATCCACACAGTAAACCTTCAAAGATTTCTGATTTGCATTCTGTTCCTGAAATTTTCAGCTGTGGCTTTTCTTGTTTTCAGCAAATCTAATCTTCGCCCTAGTAACCCACTCAACAGAAGGATGATAACTTGCAAATGTTATAGATCTTCAACCTCACTTTCCACTCCAGTTTGTGAAAACCAGTGCTCTTGTTTTCCTTTGCCATTCTCAGTTACCCTGGTTGGCCCGATGATGGATACGGTATTAAAAGTTATATACAGCCTTGGAAACCACACCAACTTAGATTGGTTGTGTGAAATAATTCTTAAGATCAGATGGCATAATGGCATAGAAACAGGCCATTTGGTCCAACAAGTCAAAGTTTATGCTTCATTTTTCTTCATCAAAATCCATAACTATAACCATTTATTCTTCTGCCTCATTTACTTACCAAGCTTTTCTAAATGCACCTAGACTATACATTTCAAAGTCATTCAATATCAGTGAACTCTACTTTCTTGCCATTCTTTAGGGAAAGATTCTTCTGGAATCCTGTATTGGAATTTTTGGGAACCACCTGATATTGATGGCCTAGAGTTACACTCTTCCCAGAGTTAACATTCTCTGTTCATTCTTTCTTAAAAACCTCTATCAGATTACCCTTTAGTGTCTTTTTTTAAAAAAAAAAGAGAAAATAGAACAAAAGCCTGTTCATCCTTTCCCAACATGTATTACTTCACATTTCTAACATCTTTCTTGTTAATCTCCTCTGCATGCTCTATACCCTATTTCTAATAGGACAACCAGAACTGCACATAATAATCCAAGTGTGGTCTAGACAAGGCTTGATAGGTTTAGCAAATTTCCTTAATCTTCAATTCTATCCTTCTAGAAATAAACTTGTGCTTGATCTGTTTCTTTGTTCTTTTTAAATGACATTGCTAATCTGTGGCACAGGTCTTGGTGAGAATAAACTTCACAAGTTTTTCCATAGCAGAACTGACTAATTTTAAATCAAAACAACAATTCTCATCAGTTTTTGATCAAGACATCAAACACATGCCAAAAATGTTTGTACCATTATTCAGGACATAAAATAAATCTACACAGTAATAGAAATTGTATTTAAAATCATATTATTGAAATGGGATTTGTGCACTGAGCTAGTGGAGTATTTCAAAAGCATTCAATTCAGAGGCGAGATGTTTTAAATTATACAATAAAATAATTCCAGAGACAATGCCGCTGAACAGGTTATATTATTACATTAACTTTATTACTTGCAATGCTACATCAATCCTTGTCACACTTGTCGCCTGTAACCGAATATAAAATCGACTACAATATCTGCTCTTTTCAGCTAGAAAAGAACAGAATAGGACCAATAGAAACCAGTAATTGTACACAGTTGTCTTTGAATCAAGTAACTAAGCCTTTGCTAGTTTTTAAGAATAAGTTAACATTTTAAGGTTGTTAACAGGTAGACCTGCTAGTTATGAAAGTATATTATTGGTCACTAATAAATATACTTGATTATAGTTTTTGATTTATGCAAAAACAGCTCAGTTCTGACATTTCTTGTTGTGCCTAAAGCAGAGCTTTAAATTTTACATCAATTTTCCAGAAGTTGTTTACATACCTTGATTGGCCTGAAGTGGAGGAAGAAGAGAATGATGATGGTATTTCTGGGAGATTCTCTTCTGTACAGTGAACAGGATACACTTCAGTTAAACTGTTCAAATTGGGAGACACTGCATGAGGAAAAAAATGAATTGTACAATGTACAATAAAATATGCATTTTATGAAGGTTGTTTATTTAGCATTGCTATGGGAGTTTCTAGTCTTCACACTAATTGTGAATAAGGGCAGTTGGAAGGTTACATGATTGGTATCAGTGTGATTCAGTTACTGCATTCTGACCTCTGATTCAGAAGGCTACACATTACTCGAGGTTTGAGCATATAATACAGACTGACACTTCCATTGGATTACAGAGGGAGTGCTGCGCTGCCTGAAGTGCCCATCTTTCAATGTGACCCTAACTCATGATTCCACTTTTCCTCTCAAGTGTATGCAAAGATATCACAGGTCTACTCAAAGAATACTCAGAGATCTTCCCAGCACCCAGTCAACATTTATCCATAAAGCCAGATCACAAAGACTAATTGTCTGGTCATTGTTAGATTTTTAAAAAACGTTATTAATACAAAATAGAAAAGCTTTTTATCTTTATTTCAACAAACATCAGAAAGTTAACACTGACGGTACAGCCAAAAAAATAGCAGGACAAATTGGCTCGTAACTGGAATGGACTGCCAGAGGAAGTGGTACATGCATGCTGAATAGGAAAAGATACAGGGGGATATGGACCAAATGCAGGCAAACGGGGACTAGTTTAGTTTGGGAAACCTGATCAGCATAGACAACACGGGACCGAAAGGTTTATTTCTATTCTGTATGGCTCTTGCGACTCTATAAATAGTAAAATTATATAGCAAGATATTTAAAAAACAAAAATAGTTTAAGATTTGAAGCAGTTAGTGGGTACAAATAAATGTTTGAGGATATTGCAGGGACATATATGGCGACTGAGAAAGCTGCTCACCAAATACAAAAGTAGCAAGTAATATAGTGGTTTCGCTATTTCTATTGGATTGATTTCCTGCATCGCAAACTGTTTTTCTACAATGTACTGAAGACACACTGCAAGTTGTGATGAACTCTATCTCACATTTGGGGATTGAACATGGATCACAATCTCAAAGTATGGCTTTACAATTTACTAGTGACATTCATAATTTAAGTTTGGCTCAAATTAGAGTACACAAAGTAATCAGAGTCAATGGATTCAATTTCAAAACACTTTAGGCAGAGAACAAAATGTGAAATAAAATGAAAACAACTCGATGACCCAACCAACATTAGCTTCTCTGTTCCAGTCAAGTTTAAGCTCATCAGGGCAATTCCCACCAAACCACTGGCACATAGAAGGAGCCATGACATACCCAGAATACAAATGTTGTCATAATTGCTCTTTAACAGAGGGGGTCTTACTGATGAGTATGCACAAGCAGGAGCCCTGAATCATGACAGTTGAGAAAAGCCTGGTAACAGTAATGTCCTTCATGGATAAAAAGATGATACACCATGATTTGGTACCTTGCAATGATGGTGCAACATGAACATACAGGAAGTCTTACTTAAATACAGTAAAGAAAGCAAACATATTTTATCAAATTCATAAGACAAATCATTAGGACTTATAGAAATCATGCAAAAATAAACATGAATTGTTTGATATGTAGGATACTTAAGGACATGCACCTTTTTAAAAAGCAATTCAAAACAGACGTAGAAAGAGACAAGAGTTTTAAGGAAAAGATACCCCTCATTCCACAAAGCTCCACACTTCCCAAAACTTGCCTGAATGCAATTGCCCAAGTAATTCCATAGGTTCAACCTATTTAGTGATCTCTAGTGCAAATATCACATTTTAACTGAAGAATTCATTTATAAGCTATCAGCTGATGAAAGATTAAACACTTAAAATTATTCCAGTTTCATAGATAAATAGGTTGGAGGCTTTTGTTCCCTGCTGGGAACATTATACTTTGTTTGATAAGACTACATAGTTACAACGCAGTGCAAAAAATACACAATAATACAGCAAAATTGTTTTCACAGATTAGCAGCACCATGTTCTGATGGATTCCAGTATTTTTAAATGCAATTAAAAAAATTCAATTTGAAAGCATACAAGGTAGATTACTTGCACATTAATTAAGTAGAGACCAATCAGATCACTCCCTAAAAGGGGACTGCAGACAAAATCAAATAAAACCACGTATTACCTTGAGACTCTAAAGACTTGCATGACTGCTTAGTACCAGGCCATATCACAAATCTTAAAATACTGAAAATCAATAGCCAGCACCTCAGGAGGAAACTGAATTCTACGAAGTGGCATTAGTTTTCAAATTCAAAACAAAATCTCTCTCTCACTCCCAGAGTGGCTTTAAACAGAAAACAATTCTAGTGTAAGCTACATTTCACAGGCAATCAAACAATTTATGGCACGTTAACAAAGAAAGATCAACTTCAATTATAGATTGCATGTTTATTTAGTAAGATATTTACCAGGACTTATTCTGCCATTATTGTTTTGCCTTTGAAGAAAATCTTTATAGCAAACCGAACACATGCCATTCGTTCGTGGGTTCCCATAAAATCCACAGCCAGTGGTACACAGCATAGGCACTTGAGTCTGATTGGTTTCTTGAGCCATGTTCCTCCAACAGACCTTGCAAGAGAAAGTTAGAGACTTTTAAGAGTCACAGTCACAAGATATGACAGTTGCAAACCCAGAAATGCAATAGTGTCATAGGCTGTACTGACCTCTATGCAAAATTCAGTTTGGAAAGAACATTAGGAAAAAAATGGCTTTCAAATTAGTGTTTGCAGAACAATGTGTTGCCACGATACAATTAAAATCTTCCTTGTTTGTCGAGGTCTTAACTCTTTGCTGAGTATTAAGCATACTAAAACACTGGTGATTTGCTGATTGGCAGATATATCTAATGGCATTTCAAATTAGGTAAGAGTAATAAACCTGAACATAGGTTTGCACACAAAATTCACTGCATGATGGTATACATACATATTTTGGTAAAATAATGAGCAATGGTAGCAGCACTGTGCTATTGCTTTTATTATCACGTGCTTTACTTCCATGGAAATTGCATGTAGATGTTTGTTAATATACACAGGTGAAATATGTTTAACTATATAGTGTGCCTGTGAAAAAAATATTTTCTAAGATGTGGCTAGAGCAGCCGGAATGCTTATTTCCACACCTTTGGCTAGGTCTGTGATATCTACTAGGCTTGATTCATCTTAGAAAGGAACCAAGCTTTCATCATTTGTGGTCCAGAGTTTTACTGATCTGAACAAATAGGATCACACTGCGTTGTTGCCTTAAATTCATAACTTTTTTCTTCCAAAAAAAAAAAAATCAGCGTTATTGTAAAATAACTGGGAGAGTACAACACCAGTAAAGGATTTAAAAAAAAAGTGACTAAGGTAACCAAGGTACTTAACGTCACAAAACAGGTACATTTAAGTCTTAGATAACAAGGTGTAGAGCTGGATGAACACAGCAGGCCAAGCAGCAGAGGAGCAGGAAGTCTGATGTTTCGGGAAAAATTTCTGAAGAAGGGTCTCCGCCCGAAACGTCAGCCTTCCTGCCCCTCTGATGCTGCTTGGCCTGCTGTGTTCATCCAGCTCTACACCTTGTTATCTCAGATTCTCCAGCATCTGAGTTCCTACTATCTCTACATTTAAGTCTTGCTCTGCAAGTGGGAGAAATGGAACAAAGAGAAACAGGGAGAGGACAGATATTTCCACAAAATAACTTATCGTTACTGTGTCATGGAGTTCATATATTTAGTAATTTACACATTAATCTACAAATTTCTAAAAGGGATAGTACAGAATAAGAGGGAGAATTCAATTTCTAAGTAAAAAAAATTTAGAAAAACTTTCAGCTTTCACTGAAGGAGTAAATGAAAGCATTCAATTGATTACACTAGTTATACAATCAGTGACAAATATTACAGTTAGCACATGTGGATCAGCAACTCAAACGGGGCATCTTCCCACAGCTTCAATGCTAAGATAGTCTAGGGATGTCAATTAGTTTGCTTTACTTTACCGTGTTTTTCTTGTATATTTTGTGATGCCAACCACCAGATTATAGCTAGGGTATTTTTCTGCCTCAATCCTATTTCCTTCACTGGTTTAATAAGGGCCTACTTGGCTTACAGTGGCAGAGGAAAATGAATTAACTGTAAAACAACTTGTTTTCATTGAAAGATAATGTCCTTTAATATTGTGAAACTGTTTCATGTTATTTTAAAATCAACCTGTTTGGACATGACATCTCTGGGGTAGCTGTGACTTGAACCAACTTCTTCTGGTTAAGAGAGAGGGGCATTACCATTGCACTACAAAACCCACTCATGTGGTTTATTGCCTCATAGAAAACATGTACAAAGGAACATCAGTAAGTTAGACATATGAAAGGATCCAAATATATTTTCACTCCAACAGATTCTAAGCTCTTCTGCCTTTTCTTCACCCAAGTCTTGATGACCCAAGTCCTTGTACAGTCTCCAACATTAACCTTTTCAGAACCATTATACTGTAGAACAATTTAAAATTTTAGAAAGTTGAAATTTATAGTCTGATAATTTGTAGTCATCTATGTTCTAGTGCAAGGGACTACTTTTTTTCCTTTTTAGACTATAAACTGGAATGGAAGTTGTAGATCATTATGTACTTGAAATACTGAGTTTTGCAACTTGATGGGGGGAGAACCGGGTAGTGCAGATTTGACTTGTGAAAGATAATACCTGATCTTTGGAGCAGTGAGGTTGTTTCTTTGAGATAGAGTGGCACCAAGAGTCATTGAGTTAAGGAAAGACTGCCTGACAACAGCCCTCAGATTAGCTCAAATAGAGTTTGTTACAAATATGTACAGGCAACCAAAGCATGTGAACTGAACACATTTCTCTCCCTGCATAGGTGAAAATGCAGAAAAACCAAGCTGAAAAGAAAGAATCCTAACAAGAATTAAGTCCATTGGAGTAATCAAAGTAAAGAACAACCATTACTTGACAAACAGCATGTCATCATTACTGAAAATCAAAAGAAACTGTGACAGACAATTTTACCAATCCTGGAGATCTGAACTCAGTTTAAGCACACGTCACCTACTAAATCACTGCACAAATAGTTCAATGTTAAATACGTTCAAAGAAAGAGGAAAATAAGTTACTCTTTTCACTGAAGATTTCAGGTATGCTAGATTAATTCTAGAAGTCTGTGGCAGGATTTTAGGCTAGAAATTCACCCTCGGATTAAAACTTTTCTACCAAACAACTTGCTCATTAAAATGAGTTTAAAGATCAGCATATACCTCAATTTCTTGATTTTTGCATAATTTGTATCCCTGACTGGATACAGGTTTCCCCCACCCCCAGGTTTACCGTAATACTTATTGTTTCGTCAGCACAAGATCAGCTGTCAGTCAATGTGATGTCACTTCAGCAAGCCACACCCACTGCAACACTTTACCCAATGTGGAGAAAAACAGTGAAAATACCAGATCCACAGTTAATTAACTAAGCTACTTCAGGTAATTTCCTACAAATGGGTTCACTTCATCCAAATCTTCACAGAACCACAAATTATTTTGATCACAAAATACTGAAGACAGAAAATGGGAGAAATATGAAGGAAAACAATAGATGCACAAGTACTTTTCTGTAAGCTCAAAATTGAGCAATCACAAAGCTGCAATTCGAGTAAGGTGATGTTTAAAAAAAATCAGGTTTATTTCTCGAGAAATAACATTGCAAAGAAAGAAGTTACGCTCAACTTGTACTGAACCTTGGTTAGATCAAATTTATAATGGTACTGCATTATCATTCTACTTGACATATTATGAAAAGGGTATGCAGACACTAGAGAAGATGCAAAAAAGATTAAAAATGATACCACAAATGCATTGATACACAGATCAGGAAAAGATTGAACGACCAGTTTCTGTTACTTTGAAGGAAAAAAAAGGGCTGAAAATGAACTACTACCTTTAAATTCTGAAATGTTTTGATAAAGTGGATACAAGGACATTGTAAGAGGAAACAGAGAACTGCATACTGCAACCTGGGGCTACCAAAATGAAATTATTCACCAAAACATAAAATAGGGAATTCAAAAGAAACTTTTTTCATTGTGGGATTCATTGCCAGGGGAGTGGTTGAATTGAATAGTTTGGAAGCATCTAAGGGGAATTTAGACAAGCAACTGAGGGAGAAGGGATTAGAGGAGTACAATGGGAGATATAGATGAGGAAAGGGAGGAAGTTTACTTGGAGCATAACACCAGCATGGGCTTGTTGATTAGGCCAGCCTGTTTCTATGTCAGATATGCTATGCAGTCTCCTGAAATAACAAGAGCTCCAAGTGTGGCTATCTAACACAACCGACCTGTAACCTTGCCTAGTTTCATTATCAGAGCTTCCTTTAAGAGCAAAAAGAGGTTCATTGCATTGCTACTACTGGGGGCAACCCATGCATTTCAAAATGGATAACTGGATAACTATATTTTCCCAAATGACTGAAGTAAAATACTGTTGATGTTGGGTATACTCAGCAGGTCAAGTAGCAACTATAGAAAAAGCATCAAAAATAATGCTTCAGATCAATGCTCACAATGTGGCTTCTTGCATATCCCTGATTTGAACTGTACCAGCATTGATGACTGTGCCTTCAGCTCCACAGCCCCTATACTCTGGAATTACTCCCTAAGCTTCTTTACTATTCACCTACCCCAAACTCTTTTGCAGCTCCATGTATTTGTGTGTTAATTTTTAATGTTAATAATATTGCTAAAGGAAAGGCACAATGTAAGTGCTTAACCCTTTAACCCTTTTACTGCAAGAAAACTTTTTAACCTTTTCAAAAAAAAAAACACCATAGAGCAAATGTCCCACTACAGGATTACCAGGTACATATTTATGTCCCAAGAATGAATGACTAGACCATCACTTTTTAGTTCTGGGAATTAACACAATACTACACCTGGATTGTTGCCAGGTCCCACAGGTCTAGTGGATCTAGTGCACTCAGCTATTATTTGACATGACTTACATTATATTCAACTGGCTGAAGACTAGCATTTGTGATACCAAGGATCTCAGGATGGGTAGATGGATAATTTCTTGGTACTTCTGGTTGAAGTTAGTTGCAAACAGTTCTCTTGATATTTTGCATTCACACATCAGGCTCTTCCATCTAAGCTGCTCATACAGCCTCCCTCTCTCAACAGTTGCTTAACTAGCCACTACAAGTTGTGATCGGATTCAACAGAGCTTTGATCAACCATTACTTGTAGGATCACACACTGCTTCTGGAATAAACCAACTATTCCAATCTGTTCTTGCCCCATAGTATGTATTTCTTGCTTTCTCAAACATTTTTCCTCCCATAATCTTCTCTCTTCTGATGCAAATCCACAACTTACCCAATGCTCCATTCTTCCAGATTTTCTGTCATACTTGTCTGACTCCATCAGTGTTTCTGACTTCATCCTTTTCCACCCAACCAAGGACGTTCCTCCAGGATGAAGCCCTCAAACCTTACATTCCATTGCCCACGTCATCTTTCTCCCTTTCCCTTCCCAACTCATCAGTTGTCACACTAAATAAACATCCACTTCCAGCATAGTACCTTTTTCAGAAGTGCAAAGGTATTGCTCCCTCTGTGCACCCTGGTCCACTCTTTGGTGAGTCCTCAACACTAACTGCCTTTCCCACAGCACCTACACATAGGCCCTTCCACCTGCAAGCTGTCCACCCCCTCCACACCCCGAAGGCCACAGGCACAGCATTGAGGTGAAGCATCAATTTACAGATGTCACTGGTTACCATTGGCAGGGTTACTGTGCCTGTGTTTTGTGTTTACAACATTCTCTTTTAGGTTTCCTTGCCCAAGTTCAAGCTATTGCAATAATATATCAACGTTGAGAATTCCCAGAGCCTTGGTCTTGATTATATAACATTTCTGGTGGATAAGAATATAATCAGGAATGGGTTGCTCTTACAAATTGAGTGCTACCTTACTGACAGTCTGTAGAAATTACAGAATGATGTGGTTCGACCAGTTTGAGGGACAGCTCTCCCGGTTCTGGCAAATTAGCAAGGAGGATATTGCAGGGCTGACTGAGCTTGGCAGGCCTTTGTCATGTCAGCTTCTGATGCCCCGGCAATCTCTGGTTTCAGTCTAATGGGCCTTTATTGCTCTGTACCAGATTGCCATGTTCATCCAGCCTTTTAGCCTGGGAAAATGGGAACTAACTTTCATGATTTGGAGACAAAGATATTTAATGAAGAAAATATAATTTAAAGAGGAAGAGAAATGCAAAACTATTATAGGAGTTAAATTAGTCAGAGTTATTGGCTATTTTAAAAGAAAAAGGCTACACTAGCTGATTATAGGAATTAGGTCCTTAAACGTTGTTGACAAATTGTACAGTATCAAGTGTAGAAAGTAAATTTTTTCTTACAACATGTCATCGTTTCGATGTAGCCAGGCTCCTTGAGATTTTTCTATTAAAGACACTACACGGGCTTTACGCTTTTTTTAAAAAAAAACGAAAAAAAAAAAACAAATTTGAATCTCTTTACTTACAATATACTAATGACAAGGCTCAGGAGTTGGACGATTGGTGCTGTACATGACACCACCGCCCAGTAGCAGGTTCCGGGGGAAGAGGGCAATTTAGCCCCACCCACCCGCGCCTTCTCACCATGGCAACTGCCTCGCCCCAGAAGTCACCGATAAACCCGGCCCCCTCCCGACTCATCTTTTAAAAGTTCGGTGAATGAACAGGATATCCCTCGACATCAAACCGGGCTTTTCCTCCTCCTCTTTCTTCCCTCCCCCCTTTCAATGGCCTTTTTCCGCTCCCGTGCCCTGGCAGCAAACACTGCCCGGACCACAGAAACCTGATCCCACCACCGTTCAGGCAGCCAGCCGGAAGCCCCGCCCCTACGCCCAACCTGATTGGACACGGCCTCCCCGCGATGTTGTCAATCACGGCCGCCAAACCGGACACGCCCACTTCCCATTGGCTTACGGCGATGTCAATCAGATCGATACGGGCCCCGCCCCTTTAACTGGCCGCGTCCCCTCTTGGCGCTTCCTCTGTCGGTACGGGGTTCAAGTGGAGGGCGTGCGAGGCCTGAGTGAAGGGGAGCAAGAATAATAGTTATAAAATAAAGCAAGTACAGGTAGGGCACAACATCAATCCCTTTAGCTGTGGGCGGGGTGAGGGGAATTGCCTGACGAGGCCGCAAACCCGCGGTGGCTAGTACATCTCCTCACCGCAAGTGGGGGGAATACTGATTAGGCAGAACTCCCCTTAAATCTCGCGGCAGCGGTGACCTACCTCCGAAATTAAAATAACGGGAAAAAAAGGGCAAAGAGCGAGCGGCCTGTGTCCGCCGGCTCGGCTGGGCTAGGCCTGGCCTCCCTGGGCCTGTTTACACGGACAAAGCGGCCGGCTCAGCCTGCCCCTGACGTCACACACGGCGCGGTGCCTCCCATTGGCTGCCGGGTGGGGCCGCCGCGTCATCACCGGCACGAGAAACTTTGCTCCTGTCAATCAAAGCCCCTGGGAGAGTAAGGTCAGTGCAGCACTGCTGCTGCAAGCCAGCTGTAGAAGGTATTATAGCCTGTGTTTTGTGTGTAAACTTCGACTGTTGCTTACGTTATTAGAGCCTCACAGCTGTCACTTTTATGGCGTGGCTAAACCGTCTGGGATGCCATGAGAGGATTGGCTACCTTCAAGTTTTCTTTTTGGTATTAAATTAAGTTACTGATGCCTTACAGAATTGTTATATTGCAAATAAAGCTGTTCTGGCCATTGTCGAAGAGGATCTTGATTTGGTGTCATTCTCCTGCCCTTTTACCATAACTCTTCACCAAACGAAGGAGCAGCACTCTAAAAGCTTGTGATTTCAAATAAACCTGTTGGACTATAACTTAGTGCCACGTGACTTCTGACCTTCTGCAAATTATGGGCAAAGATACTCGTACAAAATACTTGTCAAAAGTATGGTTCTATCTTGATAAGCATTAGAAGCCTATTACCTGTTACACATGGCCACACAAAATATGCGGTAATTACCGTTCACTCAGAGTCCCTGCTGCTATGGCAACATGCACTTTTCAGATATATGTTGTAGTTTGGAGGAACAGATAGAAATGGAAAGGGCTTTAATTTTCTTTATGTTACACAGCCAACCAGGAATTATTTTGAACCTTGCTGCATATTCACCATTCTCCCTGACCTTGAAATCTCTGAGGCCAAATATTCTGTCCTCAGTAAAGGGCTCATGTTCGTGTCATTCCACCCCCACCTCAACGAGTTTCATGCCTGCCATGACATGGAACTCTTCTTCCATTGCTTCTGCCTCCGTGCCTCCTCCTTCGATAAAGACTCCCAACCACCCTCCCGGGACACCTGATCCTGCCTCCAACCTTCCTCCTCCTCTTGGACACCCCCTGCCGGCCTCTTACCCACCTTTTCGTTGCTAACTATCAAACCTGCTGACAAAGACGGGGTGGTGTTAGTCATGAAGACAGACCTCTGTCACAGAGGCTGAATGCCAACTCTCCAACACCACGTTCTACCTCCCCCTTGACCATGACCCCACTGTGGCCCATCAAGCTACCGTCTCCCACACTGTCTATGACCTCATGGCTTCCGGTGACCTTCCCTCCACCGCCTCCAGCCTTATAGTCCCCCAGCCCCACACTGCATTTTCTTCCCACACACCAGGTCTTGTCATCACATGGGCTGTTTTCACCACAACATTTCCGCCCACTGACAGTCTGCATTAGCAGTTTTTCTTTGTCCCAGGCCCACCATTATCCATTCCTTTGTCTGCTCAACTGCTGTTTTTTTTTCTTTCTCCCGATCTCTGGACTGCATCTCCACCTATCATTTATTCCTTCACCCTTCCCCCACCTCTTCTCCAGCATATATGCCAACTTTATTCTAGCTACAATCAGTTCTGAAGAAGGGTCACTGGACATGAAACGTTGACTCCACTTTCTCTCCACAGATGCTGCCAAACCTGTTGAGTTTCTCCAGCTTTTTCTGTTTTATTTTCTAATAAGTTGTGGTGACTTTGTGTGTTTTGGGTGAATGCAGAGGTTAAATTATGGAGGGACTTAAAGGTGAAGAAGCTTTCTAGGTGTGTCATTTAGACTACCATAGAGGCTGTCTGTAAGGGCGTTTTAGGGGTTACTCGAATAAACAAGAATTTTGTGGTTGATCCAAGCCCTGTGTCTATGATTTTGTTCTTAATAAAAAATGTAACGTCTACGAGCCATCATTAGAAGTGGAACAGGAACTGTTTACAGAATCCGGTGATCATAGTAGGACTTTAAAATTGACAACAAAATGCTGGACCAGGTCAAAATCTCAGTGAAAGGTCATGTATGCGGGAAGCAAGTTAAAGGTTTCTGTATGGTAAATGCAACTCCTAATATGCATTAGCTATCCAGAGGAGAAGGCAGTGGATGGGCAGCACATCTCTGTACTCGGAGGCATTCTGACAGAGAAACAACGTAGATTCAGAAAGAAATAACAGAGTTGGAAGACAGGGCATTTGTGTACACAAGCTATCCTGGTGAATCCACTGGTGGCAGAATTAACTAGTGAAAGGCAGGAGAGGAAAGCACAGGAGGAGAAGTTAAACAGTGGGTACAGTATTTACAATGTCTGGTTATAGAGAGTCAGAGTGAGTTCCAGCCTTGATGTGAACAAAGTGCCAAAACCTGGAGAGGGCTGATAAGGCTGAGAGACAACTGAAGGATGATAAGGTAATTTACAGGATAACTCAGAGTTGGGTACATGATGAGATTGACCATGGACCCTATAGGAAAGTAATCCGAAAGCTTACCAGGGGCCTGGGGTATGGTTTGTCTCATTGCATTAGGGAAGGTGGCATCAACTGGAATGAAGAGAGGAAAGAGCCCAATGATGGGATCCAATACAGTGGAATGATGGCAAGATCCTCTCAGCCTGGGACCACCCAAAATCAGTATGGCCCTTGCAGCAGCAAACATTCATCCAGAGCACCAGGTCTGGCACCATTGCAAGGTGATTATGTGGTGCCCCCTGTGACATGGTAGAGAAGATGCTAGCTGTTGTTTCGAAGCTGATGCACCAAAGAAATGCTTCAGATTGCTTTGCTAGTATTGAGCTGATGAGGGAGATTAACAACTGTAATCAAAAAGCTGAACTTGTTCTGACTAGACAGGACGGTATACCGAAGCATATCTAAGATGGGGGGGGGCAACACCGGTGATCTGAAAGACGTGATTTTTGGTTGCATTAGGGCAGTCTATTCTTCCACTTAGAGCAGACTCAACAGCCAGCAGTGTGGCATTAGATCTATTTGCAGGCAAGTGTCTAAAGACTACTGGGAACCAGGCGTGATTGCATTTGGTAGGATCTGCCAAAAATCATTGGTTGGGAACTCTGGTAGCCCACAGCCTGCCATACATTAGAATGATAGTGAATGATGGTTCAATCATGAGGAGTTGACAAACGCCAAGGCAGCAGTACAGAGGCACCTGACTCTCAAATTTGAAACTGACTGGGAAGAGAACTCAAATAGAACAGAAAGGTACACAAGATGAAGGGCTGTGTATTGGTTGCCTGTTTCCACATTACATTAGTGACTACACTTCAAAAAGTAACCTATTCAACCATATCAGGGTTTGGAATGCAAATTTTTTATGTCAGATATCTGTGACAATCTTGATAATCACATTATCTTTCTGGCCGTGTTTGTTCTGTTAATTGTTTGCTTAACCATTAGAGCATGATACTCACATTTTTACCTGTTACAGAAGAAAGAAAAAAAATCACATATTCACAGAACCACTGATTCACAGAGTTTGTGGGAAATGGCAGAATTACAAATCGTACAGTATTGCATTATTTTGACATAAGACAGGCCATTGAAGAGCTTATTTAGAGCCTGCAGGGAACAACAAAATCTTGAACTAGGGGCACAGTTTAAAATAAAGAGTCTGCCATTCAAGATGTCAATTTATTCTCTGACAGGATTTCGGCATTTGGAATTTTCTTTCTCAGAAAGGAGAAATGACTGGGTCATAGAATATTAGTTAGACAGATTTTTGATTGACAAGTGTTGGTGATTATGGGGAAGCAGCCAGAAAAGTGGAGTTAAGACCACAATCACAAGTCTTGACATTTTTGAGTAATTTAGGCCTGTGGGGATGAATGGCTTTCTCTTACTCTGAATTTAATAAGCAATGTACAGACAACACTTGGAAACATCACATTTGAAGGCAACTCTGTTTTAGCACCTTTTCTGTGTGTCAACAGTCCACAAAACCTGAACTGTGACCCTGTATTTGCCTGTGTTGATCATGGGAAGTACTTGAGTGGCAATCTGTACGAAACAGTTGAATCAAGTTGCCACAGTCTTACCACACCATAGGGCTGCTCTCTCATTTGAGAGAGACAACTGGCAGTGATATAGTCTGAGGGCCACCACACTTCAAGCGAGGAGCGAGGTTGAGAAGGAAATTCCTTCGTGGTAACCTGAGCTGGTGCAGGAATTGAACAAGTAACAATACAGCACAGGAACAGGCCCTTCAGCCCTCCATGCTTGTGCTGACACTGCCTTCACTTACAGGATCTGTATCCTCTATTCACTTACACTTCATGTATTTGTCCAGGTGCTTCTTGAGTCCTGCTATTGTGTCTGCTTCCACCACCTCCTCTGGCAGCGTTTTCTAGGCACTCACCACACGTTATGTGAAAAACTTGCCTCGCACATCTCTTTTAAAATCCCCCCTGCACCGCCCCCCCCCCCCCCCCAATACACACACCCCTTAAACCTATGTCCCCTAGTAATTGATCCCCACCCTGGGGAAAAACCCTCAAAATCCTCACTTTCCACTCTATCCATGCCATTCACAATTTTATAAACATCTATCAGGTCGCCCCTCAACATCCTGCATTCCAGTGAAAAAAAATCCAGTCTATCCAACCTTTCTTCATAGCTAAAATCCCCCATACCAGGCAACCTCCTGGTAAACCTTTTCTGTACCCTCTCCAACGCATCTGCATCCTTCTGGTAGTGTGGTGACCAAAACTGTATGCAATATTCCAAGTGTGGCCTAACTAAAGTTCTATAAAGCTGCAGCATAACTTGTCTATCCTTATACTCAGTACCCCTTTCAATGAAGGCAAGCATGCCTTAGGCCTTTTTTTTACTACCTTATCTTCCTGTGCTGCCACCTTCGGTGATCTGTGAACCTGCACATCCAGATCCTTCTGTATATCAATACTCCTAAGGGTTCTGCCATTCACTGTATAATTTCCAGCTGTACTTGTCCTTTCAAAATGCATTACCTCACATTTCTCGCATCAACCCATGCTGTTGGCATCACACTGCTTCGTAAACCAACTGTCCGGCCAACTGAGCTAAACTGAGTACAGTGGTCTGACTGGAGATTTTTACTGCAACAAAACTAAAATAATATTTTGTTTGTTATTGACTCATCAGCTTCCAATTCGAGGAAGGACAGAATATTTTCTGAAGTCGTTAGGAGGGTTTGTGAAAGCAAGAAAGTGCTATCGATGGGCGATTTCCACCTCTAAATATAAACCAGGAAGTGACATAAGTCAAATTTAGCAAATGTAACGCATGCAAACTCGTGACCCGGCGTGTCATCGAGAATCGGGAAGGTACACAGAAATTACTGAAATGGACATTTCTCATTCTGTAGCTAAAGATAAACTGTACATTCAAATAACATCACACACATGGTTTGTTGAGAAAATTAGAACTGAAATGAAGAAGGTTGATTGGTGCCA